TGGGACCCATGGCCGAACGTTGACCCCCATGGCTGAACGTTGACCCCAATAGTGCGCTGTGGTATCGTAGCGCTGGGTCAAATGCTAGCTCCCTCGCCTGGTACGGAGAAGGTAGTGGATTATATCCCGACCCTGACGATGCTTGTTGCACATTTGGAGTTCACGTGGCTCTCTTTCTTTCTCTCTCCCCGCGGTGGTCGCGTGGATTTTTCTCCGGGTCCTCCGATTTTTTTTCCCCTCCATACTTAGAAACGTGCGTTTCGATCATTTGACTTCCGTAAAAATAAAAATCCCACGTGTGATAGTCCCTCTCTCTCCCTAAACTCCCCCGTTAACACAACTGACGTGAAATTTCGATTTAAAGCTTTCGTGACTGCAGGGATTCATCTTCTTGTTTCTTTGGGCAAAGTCACGTAGAAGGGAAATAATAAAATAATAAGAATAAAACAAAATGAAATACAATTCTCACGACGTTTCGGCCACAACGCAAGCAGCCGTCCTCAGGTGAAGAACAGGGCTGTCGGAAAGACATCGTCCGAATGAAGAACAGGTCTGTCGGAAAGACAGCGTCTGAATGACCTGTTCTTCACCTGATGACGGCTGCTTGCGTTGTGGCCGAAACGTCGTGAGAATTTTATTTTATTATGTTTATTTTTATTATTTCCCTTCTACGTGACTTTACCGAAAGAACCAAGAAGACAACTGACGTGCTTGCGTTCGTGGATGGAATTCCTTTCCAGCTCAGACCCCGCTTGCTTGCCCATCGCCACATAAATAACCTCTTGTTGTAACAGCTCTCTCGCTGGTCCAGCAGTTCCACTGCTGGATTATATTTTTTCCTACCTGAGGACGACCGCTTGTGTTTTATTTTTATTATTGTATTACTTCCCTTCTACGTGACTTTACCGAAAGAACCAATAAGATGACTCCCTGCAGCCACGAAAGCTTTAAATCGAAATTTAACGTCGTGATGTATTTTATTTTCTACCCACGTGACTTCACCGAAAGAACCAAAGAGAATGGATTCCTGCAGTCACGAAAGCTTCAAATCAAGATTGACGTGATAATAATCCGCTTTGATAAGTTGTCATGTGTGGCCACGTCGCCTCAATAAGAGCTCATGGCTCAGTGTGCGGCTTTACCTGGCAAAAATAATAATAATATGCTCTTTCTAGATTTGAAGCTTTCGTGACTGCAAGGATTCATATTCTTGGGTTTTTTCGGTAAAGTGACGTAGGTATAAAATTAAAAATTAAAATTAATAAAAGTTAAATGAAAGTAAAATAAAAATCACGACATTTCGGAGGCAACACAAGCTTCCGTCTTCAGGTGGAACCGTCACAGCACGATTGCTGTATCAAGTAAATGAGAAATTGATACAGCAATCGTGCTGTGACGGTTCCACCTGAAGACGGAAGCTTGTGTTGCCTCCGAAACGTCGTGATTTTTATTTTACTTTTATTAGTTTAAATTTGTTACCTACGTGACTTTACCGAAAAAACCCAAAAATATAATATGTTCTGCAGAATGAAAATGACCAAGTCACTGAAATTTACGGGAGGATATTGCTGTTCAGCTTGGCCATGCGTGTCTTTCACGCGGGAGTGTGATCGAGTGGCGTTAAAGTTTTAAAAGTGGATGTCAGTGGGTACAGACTGATGATGGCGATGGTTTGACTCGCAGATGTCCTCAAGTGCTCTATGCTTCTGGTATTAACGAGGTTGCAACTCCCAATGGGATAAATGCGTACGAGTAGCTTGGGGGCGGGGCATGGTAGCCTTGAGAATGATAGAGTTTGACTATCTTCTTGGTTCTTTCGGTAAAGTCACGTAGAAGGGAAGTAATAAAATAATAAAAATATAACATAATAAAATAAAATAATTCTCACGACGTTTCGGCTACAACGCAAGCAGCCGTGTTCAGGTGTTGTAGCCGAAACGTCGTGAGAATTATTTTATTTTATTGTGTTTTATTTTTTTATTATTTTATTACTTCCCTTCTACGTGACTTTACCGAAAAAACCAAGAAGATGAATCCCTGCAGTCACGAAAGCTTTAAATCAGAGTTTGACTAACTTCACGTGTTAGTATCATCTGGAACGAAAAGTGCAGGTCAAGCCTTTGGACTCCGTTCAAATTTCACAGCAAGATGTGGTACACACACTCGAGCGTGCCATCACGGCATCGGTTACGACTACACTGCAACTGATGATCCTAAATTATAGCGACTCCTGTACGCAATTGTCGTGCAGAAGGACAGGGCTACATTGTCAATGGTGATTCAACACGACAGCAACTCCGTACCAAACTGTCATAGAACAGGGCTACACTGTTACTGATGATTCCTAATGATGGTGAACCCATGACAAAGTTATCACGTGGCAGCAAGGGTACACTGTCACTGATGATGCCTAATGATTGTGAAACCATTACACAGTCTAATATAATAATAGGGTTTTCCCCTTTTTTTCTGGCTACAAAACTGAAACCTTTTTACGAGGATTCATGTCTGCATTAACCACAATACTTGCAGTCAAAATGCAAACAAAAACACACTCTGATAATATATGCATTGTCCTTGAAACTGATTGGTCCACACCAGGGACAGCTTTCTTTTGAGCCTCGACCCAATTGGTGCTCGACCAGAGGACGCCAAAAGGCGTACAGCTCAAAGACAATGCAACATCAAAGTAATGAGAACTCGGGGTGAGCATCTACATCATTAGACCTCCTTTGCCAGTACCAAAATATAATAATAGGATTTTCCCCTTTTTGCAGACATGAATCCTCGTAAAAAGGTTTCAGTTTTGTTGCCAGAAAAAAGAGGAAACCCCTATTTTTATAATTTGGTACTGTCAAAGGAGGTGTAATGACATTACACAGTCGTCATGTGTGTCTGCAACTGTCACCGATGATTGTGAAACCATTACACAGTCGTCACGTGTGGCTGCAACAGGGCTACACGATCACTAATGAGCTCTCAATATGCCGAATCCTGCACCCAATTGTCACGCAAGCCAACAGGACAATGCCACACTGACGATACCCGACAATGGTGAAACCATCACGCGGTTGTCATGTTGGGATGGAGGCGAGGGGAGGGGCGGGGGGGGGGCTTTGCAAGACCGCACGATCACTGATGAGCCCAAATGCAAGTGAAGCCAGTTTACAGTTAGAGCGACTACACGTTCATCACGTTTGATATTTAAAGCGCCTTGCACATTATGGGCTCATATGCGTGGACACAAATGGCATGACGATATCAAAAGCGCGTATTGGTGTTTTTTTTATAGTAGTGAACTCTTTCTATATTCTCGATATAATTGAAGAAATGTGAAGTCGAAAGGGTCATCGATGTTGTTCGTTTTGCTCAAATGGACACTTCGAGGTGGTGCGCATCTCCTGTTGTTTTACAGTCCTAAGCCAGTGCTGGGAATCCCACATTCCACGGGGAAATTACTTCTTACCAAACTGGTACCTTTTTTATCGACCCTAGAGGGCTGATGGGCCGGGTCAGCCCCCGTAACTCGCCATCTTCTGAGCGCGAGCTGGCTCGCACTGCCGCTGAGCCACATGACCAGTCAAATAACAATAATAAAAATGACAATGTTATAATTGTTTTTTTACCCTTTTATCTGGCAACAAAACTGACACCTTTTTTACAAGGAGTCATGTTTGCATAGACCACAATACCTGCAGTCATAATGCAAACAAAAACATAGCTCTGATAATGTATGCACTGTCCTCGAAGTTGATTGGTCCACATCCGAGACAGCTTTCCTTAGAGCCTAGTCTCACATGGTGTTGGACCAGATGACACCAAAAGGCGCACATCTCAAAGACAATGCACCATCAGAGTATGAGAGCTCGGGGTAAGCATTTACACCATTGGAACCTCATTTGCCAGAAGAAAAAATATGATAATTGTTTTTTAACCCTTTTATCTGGCAACAAAACTGACACCTTTTTTACAAGGAGTCATGTTTGCATAGACCACAATACCTGCAGTCATAATGCAAACAAAAAACATAACTCTGATAATGTATGCACTGTCCTTGAAGTTGATTGGTCCACACCCAAGACAGCTTTCCTTAGAGCCTAGTCTCACATGGGTTGGACCAGATGACGCCAAAAGGCAATCTTCAGAATACTGCCTCGCAGGGATAGCGTACACTCCTCCACAAGAGATCAAACTCACTCGGCAAGGGGACAGCGCCAACATCATGTGAAGTAACCATCGTCGTCGTCATCATCAACAAGCCAGGAGCTATCCACTGCTGGATGAAGGCCTCCGCCAGTCACCGTCGCCTCGCGGTCCATTTGCCGACCGAACATCCGTGGGTCTCTGCCTCCTGCGCTTGGAGCCGAACTCATTTGCTCCATCTCCGCAGAGGTCGTCCTCTTGGGCACGTCGTGAAATAACAATGCAGCAGTAGTAGTCACAATAACAACAACAACAAAGTTAAAACGATACCTCGAAAAGCGCTCGTAAATTACATCCGACATTCAAATCCAGAGACCGATTATGGTTTGGGAGGGCTGGTTGATGGGGGGTCAACACTCACCGACTGATTACACTGTTCAACACACTTTTTCTGGCATAAGGTATTCCAACGGTTTTAAGGTAATTTTGGGGTGCTGATTCCAAATCTGGCATCGGTTTTTGTCTATCACGTCAGGTTTTTGAGATATCAAATATTGCATTTTCAATAAGAACTGCGGAAGAAAAATATTAAATAAATGTGGATATCTACATAAAATTATATTATAAACACACTATCCTAAAAATACACCACCATATTTTAACACTAAAGCAGTCACTGACTCGCAACAACAGAGTTAATTTCGGGTAAAATCAATGAAAATGGGGTATGCCGATAGCATAAAAATGAGATGTGATAGAGCAAATCTGAGATCAGATTTAGAATTAGCACCCTGGAATTAGTCAAAAACAGCTGCAAAAGTCTAGGCAAGAAAAAAATGTTTTTTTGTGTTGACCAGTGTAATTCTATTCACTCACGGTCCCAACAACACTCACCACGCCGAAGGGTGTCGCGGCGGCGGCTTCGTTAATGACCGATAGCAAGTGAGGGTGGGTGGGTTGGTGGTGGTGGTGTGGTGGGGAGCCAGAGCCAACTCAACGATGGACACCACGAGAGGCGAGGTCAAGAGGTCAAGGCGACTTCTATCCGTCGGAGGACGGCGGAGTGACCCATCCGTATTTCTCGTGGGTCTTCACGAGGCTACGGAACGTCGCATGCGCCTCCTTTCTCGTGAACGCCTTCTTCTTGCGGCTGATTCGCCCCTGGGAGGCGGGGGGGAGGAGGGGGTGGAGGGTGGCGAGACAAAGAAGAAAAATCACGCACACGCATGGCACATCTACACTATTAAAGTCAACATTTTTTTATTTTACGAGCTAAGGCCCACTGAACTATATCAGCGACCTGGCCACAGATGATAGCCCAACCACGTGACTTGTCATCACGTGGAAATTTATAGCAGCCAAATCACTCGAAACGCGTTGACGTGGATTCTAGATGTGTTGGGAAAACCCGGAGGACCTGGAGAAAAAGACCACACGACCACTGGGTAAGAGACACGCAATAAAATAAACTTCTGCAAGACTCTACATATCTTCACACTTACCTTCCCGTAGAATCTAAAGGAGATATTTTGTGTTATTTTTTTTTAAAGCACACGTGTAGTAGCTACACGTGTAGTAGCTACTACACATGCAGCTACTGCATGTGTAGCTACATATGTAGTAGCTACTACATGTGTAGTTCCTACATGTGTAGCTACATATGTGCAGTTCCTACACTTATAGCTACTACACGTGTAGTAGCTGCATGTGTTGTAGCTACTACATGTGTAGTAGCTACTAAATATGTAGTAGCTACTACACGTGCAGCTACTTTGCCTAATATGATAATCCGGCACTGGCAGGAATCGAACTCGGGTCGCAGTGCGCTAACCACCGCGCCACCGCCCCTCATGAAATCCCACCACCAAACCTTGACACTTGCAACCTTTTAGTTTATTGTTTTGGTCGTTTTCATCATTCTAAATGTGCAATCTGTGTCATGAATCGCGGTGTCCGTTTGGACCGTGGCAGAGCAGTGCTACCCTCCCCGTGTTAGCGAACGGTCTGCAGAAGAGGATAACACAGAACTACATCTGTGATGCCTGCAAGTGTCACCTCTCATCCACCACCACCACCAAGATCTCCTGCATTGCCTGTCACAGATTATTGGGGCAAGTGCTGCTAGCGAGCACCTATGGATGCCGGCACGGGCACACGAGGGGGTGGGTGGCCAGCAGCCACGCCCGGCCGCCTTTGTCTCCCCAGTCGTGATGTCTACACACCGCACCAGGTACTCAATTAAGGCTGAGTCGACCTAGGAGAGGCCCGGGACCGGTTCAGATAATCGTCACTGGTGGTGTTGGTGGCCGTGAGCAGCACAGAGTGCTCACCGCTACACTGCCACTCCTAGGTCGACTCAGCCTTAATTGAGTACCTGGTGCGGTGTGTAGACATCACCACTGACACTCACCCACAGCGCACCACCAACAACTGCCATTCGCCACTAAGTGGCGCTTGTGCCAGGCTAGGTGCACGTTGAGGCCACGTGAAGTGTCGAACGCCCGTCGGCAGGAGGTCACGGGGCAGACCCAGCAGGTGCCACGGGTCGACTGACTGAGATGACTGAGATGACCGGCCGATGCATTGCACCACCTCCACGCGAACCACCACCACCACAACCACCACGATCACCACCCACCACCACCACCACCTCCCACCACCACCACGACCACCACCCACCACAACCACCACCTCCCACCACCACCTCCCACCTCCACAACTTCCCACCTCCACCACCACCATCACTACCCACCACCTCCATCCGAACCATCTCCACCCGAACCATCACCACCCACCACCACCACCACCCACCACCACCTACATCACCACCACGCACCACCTACATTACCACCCACCCTACCCCCCTCACCCACCCACCCACCCCCCTCACCCACCCCCCTCACCCACCCCCCCCCCTCACCTGCCCCTTCACGAGGCTGGCGGCGAACTGCCTTACGAGCGCCTCCACGGTGTAGGCGCTGGACCAGCCCTTGGGCGTGAGCAGCTCCATGCAGATGGCGCCGCCGTCCAGCACGAAGCCGTTGTCGATGCGCGGGCTGAGCACGCGCATGAAGGGCGGCGAGAAGGGGAAGCTCTCGGGGAAGGTCAGGTTGAGGAGGACGCCGTCGGCGCCCGCCTCGCGCAAGTCCTGCCACAGGGCCGACTCGAGGTCGATCTGCCGCAGGGTGACGTTCCACTCGAAGAGGCTCTCGCCCACGAGCTCCACGCTGAGCACCTCGTGGCCGAGGCGGCTCAGCTCGGACAGCTCCTTCATGAGGCGGCGGGCGCGCACCTGGCGGCAGTGGCTGGAGCTCGCGGCTGATGATGCTGATGCTGCCGCGCGCGGATGCTGCTGCTGATGATGGTGCTGCTGATGGTGCTGATGATGATGCTGCTGCTGCTGATGATGCTGCTGATGATGATGATTTTGCTGCTGCTGCTGTTGCTGTTTCTTGGTGTCCGAGGCGCTGTCCTTGGTACCGGAATCGTTGAGAACGCCCGCGAGATGCTGCTGCTGTTGATGCTGCTGATGATGCTGTTGCTGCTGCTGATGCCGCTGTGCTCCGCCGGTGCTGCTGCTGCTGATGCTGTTCGCCCTCAACACGTCCACGCTGACCATGCCCTTCCTGGACACCTTCGGGCTGCGCGTCACGACGGGCGGACGCAGGCGGCTGAAGCCGATTTTGCGCAGGAGGGTGGCCATTTTCGTTTAACGCAAACACGTCTGTGTGTGTGTGTATGTGTGTGTGCCGGATTTTAATTGTTTAAACGGGAAAACAATTAGAATACCAGTTCTGCTGTACGCCGCGTACGTGTGTGTGCGTGTGTGTGTACGTGCGTACGTATGTGTGCGCGTGTGTGTACGTGCGTACGTGCGTGTGTGTGTACGTGTGTGCGTGTGTACGTGTGTGTGTGTACGTGTGTGTGTACGTGCGTGTGTGTGTGTGTACGTGTGTGTGTGTGTACGTGTGTACGTGTGTGTGTGCGTGTGTGTGTGTACGTGTGTACGTGTGTGTGTGCTTCCGTGTCCTTGCGGTGTCCAGCGCGCGCCGTGTGAATTAGATTTGGGGGTCGCGCATCTTGAATAATGGAGCGGGCGGGCGCCACTGAATGTTGCAGCGATGGCGACCCCACGCGGAGCTCGGCGACAACACACAGACCCCTCCCTCCTCCTCCTCCTACCCACCCACCACCACATGTCACTCCCACCCACCATCGCCTCCCACCCTCCCTCCTCCTACCCACCCACCCACCACACATGTCACTCCCACCCACCATCTCCTCCCACCCTCCCTCCTCCTCCTCCTACCCACCCACCACCACACATCTCACTCCTCCTCCCACCCACAATCTCATCCTCCCCCCCACCCACCCACCACGGCATACATCTCACTTCCACCCACCATCTCCTTCCCCCCTCCACCCACCCACCATGGCATAGAGCTTACTCCCACCCACCATATCCCCCCACCCACCCACCTACCACAGCATGCATCTCACTCCCATCCACCATCTCCTCCCTCCCACCCACCCACCACGGCATGCATCTCACTCCCACCCACCATCTCCTCCCACCCACCTCACACCCATCACACTCACACCCATCACTCCCCTCCAACCTCACCCCCATCACACCCATCACTCCCCTCCAACATCGCCGCCCACGTCACACCGTCACACTCCCCCGCCCGTGACTCGCTGGCCCCAATCCACCACAACCACTCATCACTGCACCCCCCGTGTCTCTCCCAGGTAACAACCTCGCAGGCGGGCGGCGCTGCAAACCTACTTGCTGTACTGGCACAGCCCCTGCCGCCTTCGCGCGAACCCCAGCGGGTCGGGTGCCTTCCTCTGGCACACGCTGTGACAACTCCCATCTCAGCGTGACCCACCAACCCCGCCCTCAAAGCTGCCGAGCGAGGGTGACCCTGCACCATTTAAAATTGATCGCGGCTGTAATTCCATCCGTGGTGGCTGCCCGACTCCCTTGGGCTCTTGAAGGCTGCCTCCGCCCCACTCCTGCTCGTCTGGGCGCGCCGCGGTGGCTAGGAGATGTTAACTACCTCGCCTGGTACGCAGGAGGTCGTGGGTGCGATCCCGACCCTGACGCCTGCTGCTGTATATTTGGAGTTTGCGTGTCTCTCTCTCATCATCACGGTGGCTAGGATATGTTAACTACCTCGCCTGGTACGCAGGAGGTCGTGGGTTCGATCCCGACCCTGACGCTTGCCAGAGGTCGCGATCGGGTACCTGTGGTGCCACAACGACGGGGCCGCTCTGCCGAACCAGGGAGCCGCCCGGCTTCCCCCACCGCACTGCCCCCCATCACCCGCCCCACATAAGCACACACCCGCACGCATTCCCCCCCCCCCATAGAGCTGGAAGGGAAGGTCACCTGATCGACCGGTTTTTATCCGAGAGACCCTTATCGGGATTAATTCTCACGGTTTCCGGCGATCAGGGAATTGGATGACCTCCCCGTGCTACGTGGCACCGCGGCGCTGCGGCCGGCCTTAATATGGTAGGTCGTGGCGTGGGGCATTCGGCCACCGCGGTTGAGGCGCATTTCCCCCCACACACACTCCCACGGGTCGACGGGGCGAGCAGGGGAGGCACGGGACAGCATGAATAGCGGGGTCACAGGGGCTGTTGCGCATAGTCATGGAGGGTTGGGATAATTGCGCTTGAGCGCGCAAGCCCCATTGGTAGGAAGGGTAAGGGAGTAATTAGGATTTACGCCTTGCACGCAGCACACTGATTAGCATATCAACAGCGCCTGGGGACTGCCGTGCGCGGGCTTGGGGTGCACGAGCCCATTGTTCAGCGCAGCATCCCCTTTGGGAGGTAGGGAGGATAAATAGAGGAGCGCAGAGGGGAAATCGCTCTCTTACTCCAGCGCCAGGCGACCAGACGCGGCTCGAGCCAGCGACCCGGACGTCCGTGCGACGCACCGAGGCACGCGGTTAACAGAAGGATCAGCGGACCGCCGTGGACACTTAACAGTGAGTAAGAAGGGGAATTAGAATCATAGCCGATAAATAGGGAATAGGTGCCGGTTTAGTGGAATAGGCCAGCCTCGTCGACTCACTAATTCAGCATTAGTTATCAGGTAATAAATCATTAATAGCGAAGCGTGGTCTCGCGTGATCTTGTCGTGCAGTGTGAGCGTGTGGGAACGCGTGTGGTACTGTGTGTGCGTAAGCTCGCAGCGTGCGTAATCGGCGTCCCCCAGGTGCGCGATCATAGCGTAATCGGCTGCGCATTGTTGTACGGTTTATCTCGCGCGCACGGCGGCGGCGACTTTAGTCGTTGTGTCGGCGTGTGCCCCGCTTGCGTGTGCTCGTTACGTGTTATAAGTGTGAACGCGTGTAGTACGGTGTAGGCGTAAGCTCTCGTCGTGCGAAATCGGCGTACCCCAGGTGCGCGATTGTAACGTGAGCGGCCAGCGCGGCGCAGAGAAGCGCAAGAGTGAGTGCCGTACGGAGCTGTGTGTGTGGGTGTGCGCGTACGTAATTAACCATGCCTGCTACGCGGACCCGCGGTGGAGTGGAATCCTCGGGCGACGGCTCCCACCCCATGGGTGAGGAACTTAGCAGCGGTTCGCTTAGCAGCAGGGGGGCGATTGATGATGCTAGCCCGGCCGTTAACATTATCGAGGGAGGGATCTCGGGGGCTAGCGACCCCCACAAATTGGTGTCAGAAGCGGTACGGACCCCCGCGTTACCTCACGCTAAAATAAGACTAATATTTACCGGCCGGGGGGCCCCTTCGTGGAAGGCATTCGCCCGCAATCTCTTAGGGGCCAAGGAAATTAATGGATGGACGGACGCGCAGGCAGTACGTCAACTTAATATGAATCTTGATGGGCGGGCAGCCGATTTTGTAGAAGCGTTACCCGCGAGCGCACAGACACAGCTAGAGGAGCTGATGCGCCGACTCGATCAGCGTTTTGGCACGCGTGACGAGGAGGAAGCAAAATCGGCCTTAGAGGCGCGCCGGCGCCAACCTGGCGAAGATCTACGTGATTACGCCGAGGATGTGCGTGAGTTAACAAAGATCGCACGCCCGGGGTACGCAACTGATGTTATTGAGGAACTGGCCGCCGAGAAAATCCAGCGGTACCTGTCTCGCACGGCGTGGTGGCAGCCAGACATGAGCTGCCCACGTCTTCCGTTTAACACCCTTGTCGAGCGCGCACGTAAGTGTGAAAGAATTCACAGCGAACGCGCGCAGCTCCGGGGGCTGGGACGAGAGCGCGCCATTGCGAGCCTGCTCTCGGAAGACGAGGAGGAGGGACAGGAGCTCGCGAGGACGGTAAGGGGCCGGGAAAGAGAGCCACAGAGACCCAGCGAGACGACCCCGGGGTGGGTAGCCGGGTTACAGGCCGGCATGGGAGATATGATAACCCAAGTAGGTGAGAGGGTAACTCACGTAGGTGAAAGGGTAACCCAGGTACGCGAGGAAGCAAATAAAAATATGACCAAACTGCAATCCTCCGTTGAGACCATCCGATCCGAAATGGGGGACCTACGCGCCACGGTGGGAGGGTTATCTGGGAGGGTAGCCCGACTAGAGGCGGAGGGTGGACAGCGGCGTAATGGGGGGGGAGGGAGCGGACAGGGGACCCGCTACGGAACCGCCCCCCCTCCCCGGGCATGTTATATGTGCGATCGCCGAGGGCATCTAGTGAGGGACTGTCCTGAAATCACCCGAGCGAGACAGACGCGGGGGTTAAAACTCCAACGCCCCCTAGAGAGCGGACCAACTAGGGGTGCAATCGACGCGGTCCCGATACAAATGGACGATAATGAGAATAATGGCGAGCGAGTGATCTCCACACAGGTTCCAGCAACAACGCCCACGGAAACGGTGACTCCTGGCGACTGGCTACGGGAGCTGGTGGCGGGGATCACGGGGGCCACGTCGCTGGTGGAAGGGGAGGTTAACGGAGTGCGTACCCGAATCCTGCTGGACACGGGGGCGGTGGCCTCGCTCGTGAGCGCAGCGCACTGCAGCGCGATCGGGGTCGACGTGCGTCACCTGCAGGCACCGGACCGCGCGCTGCACACGGCGAGCGGAGCCGGAATGGGGCTGCTGGGGAGAGCCACCCTAGAGGTCCGCATAGGCAGTCAGGTGTGCACCCAGGAGTTCTACGTGTCGAGTGCGTTGTGTCACGAGTGTATCGCAGGTACCGACCTCTTAGAACGGCTGGGACTCAACGTGCAACCCCGCCAGCGATGCGCCACCATGGAGAGCAACGGCGAGCGGATACCGTTCCTGGGACGAGAACCGACGCGCCGCCGCTTTGCACCTGTGGCCGCTATCCTGACGACGGCAGTCACCATCGGCCCGCTCACCGAGGTGCTGGTGCCGGTGGCAACATCCCCCACCGACCCCGCGCTCCGACCATCAGGGGAGGTAATGCTAACTCCTCACCCGGAGTTGGCAAAACGGTATGGGGTTGTGGGATCCGCCACGTTGGTAAACGCAGATGGGGACCGATTGTTTATGCGGATGTTTAACCCCCACAATACCCCCGCGATACTGCGACGGCGCACCCCGATAGCCACAGTACACCCCCTGCACGCACGCCACTTTAACGACTCGGTGTTCGCACTCTGGGCTGAGGACCCCGGTCGTCCTGAGGGTGAGCAGGACCTGGCCTGGCGAGTCGGCCCGACTCCCCGAGCCGAGGTCGTTCCCCTGCTCGACGCGTTACATGTACCATGGGCGGACTTACCTAAGGGAGAGGCCGATCGGCTGCGCGAGTTACTGCGGGAGTATGCCGACGTGTTCAGCGAACACGACTCGGACGTGGGTCGGACCGACCTTGTTAAGCATCAAATTGACACCGGTGCAGCCCGACCCATCAAACTCCCTGCGTACCGAGTGGGCGCACCCGAACGCGTCCAAATCAAAGAGGCAGTTGGGGACATGCTTCGCGATAACATAATTCAGCCCTCGGCGAGCCCCTGGTCAGCCCCGGTGGTACTAGTAACGAAAAAGGATGGGTCAACCCGATTCTGCGTCGATTACCGTAAACTAAACGCAGTCACGCTCGGCGATGCCTTCCCCATACCTCGCATCGACGACACCTTCGACAGTCTCGCAGGAGCGCGGTATTTTTCCACCCTCGATCTGGCGTCCG